CCTTTCAAAACTCCCAAGATCACCTTACAAAAGTCAATAATAAAATCACAATAGGACAATAAACACAATAAAAAACAATAAATGGTGGCTATGATGCAGTTTACTTGGCATCTGAAAATACATTTCCTCAAAGGCATTTTGATTCTGAAAAGAGCTTCACTGAGTGAGAAGTAGTGGAGCTCAAAAAACAGTTTAAGTTTCACTTTCACTCTTTTGCTCTGTTACTGCCGAGAGCCTGCAGGAGTCATGGGTGTGGTGTGTGGGGTGGAGGGCGGGGAGGTGTGCTCCGTGATGAGGAAGTTCAGCTTAAAGACACGTCCCAGGGGCCTTTCTGGTACCAAAAGGTGTTTCTGGTCCCAAAAGGTGTTTCTGGTCCCCACCTGTCGTTTTGCTCCTCAGCATGGCTGCCTAAAAACACTGCAGGATTTCTCAAACATGCATGAATGAGTCATAGCAAGGCTTTGGGCACGTTTTTTTTTATCAGAGTGTAACATTATAACATGTTATAACCTAATTTCCCTCTGGGATCAATAAAGTATTTTTTTAATTGAATTGAATTGAATGATATAAAACTCAAAAAAGTTTATTTTACATGGTATTGCCCCTTTAATGTTTAATATTCTGATTCTGATTACTACCTCTGTTCACACAACTCGACTGGAATTTGCAACATTATTTTCAGTCATTCCATCATTTCCATGTCCATATAAATGCAGAAGTTACACTCAGCATGTTGTCAGTGTGAGGCAGTTTAAAGTGAAAGTGATGAAATATAAACTGTTAGACAATAAAAACATTTTTTCTTAGATTGTATAAATTATAACCTAAACCGTTCTTTGACAAGTGTCAGATATTTTAGTCTGGAACCTGTGAAATAAATTTTTTTTCAGCGTTGAAGTTTGATTTGAAGGCAGCCAGTGTATTTTTCCTACATAGTTTATTTTTACTCAAATGTGTGTCGATAATAACGTTATGCCAAGTTGTCTCGGTTAATTAATCTCACTCAAGTTAAGAAAAAATATTTTTTATTTGAAAGGAAAATATTTGAGGTCAGAATGGTTGGCACGCCTTTTGCTTTGAGTTTTATTGTTGAGAAAGTAAATTGATTAAAAATTTATTTTAAACTATTTGAGGATTGTGAAATAAATGACATTTTAAAAGTTGCTTTTTATAAACTTTTTAGAGGAGAGTTTTCCTGATATGCAACTCTTTTTACCC